AGGCCTTAGAGCGTCCAAGATGGCCCAAGATTGCTCCAAGAGGCGTTCAAAGTCGCAAGATGGCCTCCAAGATGGCCCATGTTACTTCAAGATGGGTCAAGATAGCCTCCGACCTACCCCCAAGAGGCCCCAAGACAGCCCCAAGACGGATCCAAGTGCCCTTCGAGCCCTCCACGGCGCTCTCCAAGATGCCAAAACCCTTCAAAAGCCTAAGGAAAATCAATGTATTTGGCATTCTCGCATTTTCGCTTCCGATGGGCTTTGGAAGCCTCAAGATGGCACCATGATGGCCCAAAAGGGCCCCAAGAGGGGCCCAAGAAGGCCGAAGACGGCCCCAAGATCGCCCAAGCGCGTTCCAAGACGGCCCCAAGACGCCGTTTGAGAGCCTCCGAGGGGGGGATCCTAATTAAGGAACCTCCTCTTTTTGAGACATGGGGCCCAAGATGGCCCCAAGAGGCCTCCCAGCCTCTCCCGAAGACCCTCCACCCCGCTCTGTTTGGCCCAAGATGGCTCCAAGAGAGCCCTAGATAGCCCAAGATGGCCTTCAAAATTGCCTAAGATAGCCAAGCATGGCTCAAGATAGCCTCCGACAGACCTCCAAGAAACCTCAAGACAGCCTCAAGATGGCCCAAGATAGCCGAGCATGGCTCAAGATAGCCTCCGACAGCCAATAGCCGAGCATGGCTCAAGATAGCCTCCAAAGAGGCCTCAAGAGAACTGGCAATAAATTCTGGAGGGGCTGGTGGGGATAGAGTTTGCCTTTCGAGCCCTCCGCCACAAGAAGATCCCCGAGACCGCCAGCAGGCGACCGAGATCCCCCTAAAAGACCCCAAGAGGCCCCCAACAGGCCAAAAATAAGCCTGCTGACGCACCCAAGAGATCAACAAGAGGCACCAAAAGGCCTCAAAGTGGGCAGATTCCCTTTGCTGATGGACCTCTCGTGCGTGCGTCCTCCTCTTCCTCCTCCTCCTCTACTTCTGCTGCTTCTTGTTATCTGTCTTAGCCTGATTAGTTGCATCAGGATCCCTATTCGCATACGTATCATTATGATTGTCAGTACGATCCGCACTAGCATTAGCATTCGCGTTCGTATCATTCGTGGTAACACAATCAAAATTAGCATTCGCAATGTATTATCATTCCTATTGGAAGTAGTACGGGTATATTTAATAGTATTAGCATGATGTTTAACATAGGTTCCTAATAGTGTCAGACTTCGGGCTATTATCAATACTAGTATAATCGTTGTGCTTCATTGTATTCCTCCTCTTTATCCTCCTCCTCCTCTTCATCATCATCCGCATCCTCATCCTCCTCATCCTCACCCTCCCTCTCATATCCCAGGTCCCCATCCGTGGTCACCTGACTTCTCACTTCTCGCCCTGCGCCACCCCCTTCTGACCAGACCCTGCAAAATCACCCAAACACGCCCAGGCCAGAATGCCTGAAGCCCATATCCTCATAAAAAAGCACGAAGCCCCTACCTCGCCCTAGTAACTTCCAGGGGCTCCTCCTCCCTTCACCTGGCGGTCGGCGAAATGGCGTAAGCCTCTTGAATTAACCATCGCTGTAGCGTACGACACGACCGTGCTCAAATGACTTCATGGGGGAGAGCCGAGAAGAGGGACTGACACTGCGTAAATTCGCAACGTCGGGGGTTCGCCAGTTTCGCTTTGCCCAGAGATCATTTCGCCGAGGTTCGCTTCGCTGGAGGTTCGCCTCGCCCAGTTCGCATCGGCCAGCTCGCCTCGCCCAGGTCGCTGCGCGCCTGGGTTCGCTTCGTGTGGGGTCGTTTCGCAGGGTGTGCTTCGCACAGGGTTCGCTTCACACTAATTCGCTTTGTATGGGGCTCGCGTCGTTCTGGTTCGCTTCCTGCGGATCGCTTCGCCCAATTCGCTTCGCCCGGCTCGATTGGCACAGCTCGCGTCGCCCAGGCTCGCTCCGCCGGAGTTCGCTCCGCCCAATTCGATTCGCCTGTTCAGGTCCGCCCGGGCGACCCGACCCGTCCGCACTGCAGACGATCCTACTCAACGGCGCCCTACACTCTGACGTCCCGCTCGCCCGACCCGCCACGCCCCCTCAGGGCCCGCCCGCCCGACCCGACCCATCCGCCTGGGGGGTGATCCTACTCGATGGCGCCCCGAACTTCAATGATATCCGACCCACCCGGAACGCTCCGTCCGGGTCAGGGCCCGCCCGCCCGACCCGTCCGCAGACGCGAGGTGCCTCAAACAACGTGAATCCACTCTTGGACCACTTCCTACCCTCAGGTCCCCATCCCTGCGGACCCCATCTTTGAACCACCGATCGACGGCGCCCCCACTGCCCGACCCTCCCATCATTAGGGTCCGCCAACGCGACTCGACCCGTCCGCCCGAGCGGACCAAGAAAGGGCCCCAAGACGCGACTCTCGGGGCTCCTCGAGAGGAAGGGCGAATTCGGGATCCCCAGGGGCTGTTGATAGAGATCTTCCAACACGGCTCCAAGAGGGCCTCATAGGGCTTCTCAAAAGGCCTCGAGAGAGCCTCAAGAGCGCCACAACAGCACCCGCCACCAAAAATGGCCCCAACGGGGCCCCAAGATGGCCCAGGTGCGCAAGCTGCCAAAAGGCTCCCACATCGAAAGCAAGTGTGGTTGACTCCCGTGCCTCCTCGGGCAGATCCTGATCTTCGGTTTGACAGCTGCCCCCCTCATTCTGCTCACTGCGTGCTCCCGCATTCCCCTGCTCAATGCAACTCACCTTGGCACCGTTGCTGGATGGGCTGGTGGGGGTACGCTCGCATGGACAAACGCAGCGTGGGCGCGGGGCACCCGAAATCGAATCATAGCGACGCGTGCTTCCGAAAGCAGATGTGCACACCTGATTGGGAAGACTGCAATGATGATGGCTGATGGAGGACCCGTCGGTCGGAGGTAGGTAGAAACATGAAGCAGAGAGGCGCTGAAAGAAGAGCGTGTCCTGTCCGCCCTCCTTGGAGGACGGAGAAGGTGAAGCCACTCGATCATTGAAGTAGGAAGGCGCTGAAGGTAGAGTGGAATCTGGGAATCCAAAAGTACCTACTTTCAACGACCGATCGGTACTGGTATTGGTTTCTGTATGGATCTACTGGCCGCTGGAGCCTGGGCTCGACGACGACTCGGGACAACGGTGCAGAATGGAGGTCAGTCCGACCGAATACCGTCGAAGCGTTGAACTAAGGAACCCTTCATAATGAACGAGGCACCTCTTCCCATAAGGTAGACTTCGATTTCCCATGAAAAACCTCAGGAACACCTAAGGCAAGCTGTAATTCAATCAAAGAACACCGAGCCCCTCCCCAACGAAAAGGGTTCCTTCTTCAGTGCCCCGACTGTACACTATTCTAATCGCACTTAATGTACTCAGAGGCATTGGCGGGAAACTCCACAGGACCACCCAACATCTCACAAGAACCTCTGTCCACTGCGCATGCGCTAGTGAAGAACCGGTCAGCGTCGCAAGTGCTGAATAACCACGGCCATGTAACTTCGAATCTGGCGCCAGCGTCGCGGCAGCTCGTTTGCTGAGACCTCTCCAATATCCGCCCGAACGCATCTCCTGACGGCATCACCTCGCGCAATCGCGCAGCAGAGACAACAAAACTGGCACAGCTTTGAGGTGAGATGACACGGGGTATGTGCCCCCGCCTTTCGCGAAGAAGAGTGTTCTTCAGCCAATACTCCCAAGTGTCGTCTTCGCGTCTTGGATTGGACATCTCGTCGTAAGCACAACGTATGTCAAGTTGAACCTGCTGTGGCGGACTCGGGTGCATTGATAGATTTTCCCACCAGCGCCTTCGATCCAAAACGTACATGAAATTGGGGCGGCTGCTTGCTGTCATCATGTTGTGAAGCGTACGCGAGAGCGACCTGTACTCTGGATGCATCATGTGCGGCTCGTTGTTCGGGGGAGCTCCATCTTGCGCATCATCAACTATGAAGGCATTGAGTGGCGCAAGCTGATTCCAGAAGAGAGCGATATGCGTCAGATACTTGACGTTTTCGGTGCCTCTGAAATATTGCGAATACGATGATTGCGGTGACTCAATCACTACGGTCCAACCGGCATCTCTGTACGTAGTGGCGAATGTGTTGTCCCACGCGGCACAGTGAATAACAACATGGACCTGCGGACTCATACTCGAAAGCTCCTCCAGCAAGGTGTAATGTTCAACTCGAGGCATGTTCATTGACACAACGACTCGCAGCTCAGCTCTCGGCAATGTGATGGGGGGGCGAGCCTCCAAGCGGCCATTGCCCAATCTGTACACCACACTATCGGAAAAAATACCCTCCTTGACGTCGACCGTCGTCCACCTGACGCTCTGTCGAAAACGTTCGTCCACGCGGCGCTGATGCGGATCGGGCTCCTCAGCACTATCCGCCACCGCTCACCGAGCACATTGGGGCTTCTTTCAGGTCGGGCGTGTTTCCTCACAGGCGGATTCTGGAAAAAATAGCAATAGTCGAAACATGGTAAGAAATAGTAAAACAATCGTCCACAGGCTATGTTTTGACTATTGATACTCCTCATGTAGAGGGACGTGCCCGACTGAAGGAATCTTAAAAAAGGTGCAGGGAAGGATCTCGGCAAATTCGAAGGCACGCCACCCCCTGTGCTCAGGCAATCCTGGAAGATCGTCACCCCCACGACGGAGCAGAGGAGGAGGGGGAGGAGGAGGAGGAGGAGGAGGAGGAGGAGGAGGAGGAGAGCTCGACGACCTCGTCGCGGTCTGGGGGCGCTCCGGCCCAAGAGGCGAGGGGCAGCGAGAGGGGGGAACCAGCTCAGAGAGAGGGGACACGTGGACGACACACATCACCGGCAGATCAGCGACGGGCCCCCGACAGCCCATCCGCACGTGCCTGGGCGGGGTGGGCTGTGGAGCGGTTGGAGTGGGAATCGGCAGGGTGGCCAGTGGCGGACGGCAACGGGGCCGGCAACGCGGTCCAAGGCGCCGAAAGAAGGACCGCTTTGGACTCGGAAGTGGCTCGATGGTCCCCAGGTCATGTCGCGGTTGTTCCTTTCACCCTCCTCGTGCACGCAGGCGCTGCTGGGCGGCGATGAATGGGCGGTTGGGGGTCGATACATCCCTCCCTGAGCCTATCTCCCCTGTTGTTGCCCCTGGAGACCGCCTCAAAAGAGGCCTTCTAGACGGGGTCGGAGAAGATGGGGTCGGAGGATCGCGCCGCATCGGCGATGCATCGGCGATGCATCGGGAATGCACCGGCGACGCATCGTCGACGTGGGCAAATCGGGCTTCGCATCGAGCCGCATCGGCGATGGATCGGCGATGCGGCGCGATCCTTCGACCCCATCTGCCCACCAGTGCTCCTCGAGGTAAGCGCTTTCTTATTCGGCGCTTCGGCATTGGGCTGGGCGGAAGGGGGGGGGAGGGGGGGGGTCTGGCTCGGGACCTCTGCTTAATGCGACCCTCTTCAACAGTGCGTCCTGGAGAGGCAGACCGCACCTGCTCCAAACATGCAGCCACAAGAGCCAAGATCTGCTCCATGGGGGGCGGGGAGGGGGTGCGAATAGAAAGGAACAAAAACTATGTAAACATAAACTTTCGACGGTCCTCGCGGATATCTTGGATCTGCGCTGGACCCCCCTCGCTGGCGCGCGGAGCACGCCAGGGGCGGTGCTGGAGGCGCCGCGTGGGGGCCCCAGCGCAGATCCAAGGAATCCGCGCGAAGCGTCGAAAGTTGATGTTTATGTATGTCGTTTGTTCTCCTCCGAGCGAGGGCCCGCGCCGATCGGCAAAACAATGCATAAGAGAACGCTCCCAAGAAGCGGCGACGACAGGTGTGCCACATGTGACGGCCTTCGTTGCTCGAAGCGCTGCCACCCCGCAGGCCGAGCTGGAGCGGTGGCCGGGATGACCGCAGGCACCTGGAGCAACAATTCACGACAACATGCGTGTTTCAATACAGCGGAGGCCAGTCCACCAGAACCCTCCCACAAGAAACCCAACCCTGAGACCCCAGGACGTCCATCGATTTCTGGTGTGGGAACGCCGCGCTCTCCACGGCAGAACCGTCGAAACCCAAGAACCCAGGGCACCTTGGAGGCCAGTAGGCTGTTTTTTGGCATGAGTCTCCACAGTAGGTGCTGTTTCTCCGGCCACCCTGTCCAAGATGAACTCCAGAAGGCCTCGGAGTACCCAAAGACGGCCCCCGGGGGACCCAGGGAGCCCCCAAAGAGACCCCAAGATGGCCACGGACAAAAAAACCCAAGGTCACTTTGAGAGAGCTCGAGGGCCGCCTGTAGATCCAACCAGGCGACCACGGGATGGTTCCATCGAGGCGCCTCGGGAGACCTCGGTCGAGACATCGCGCCCACCACGGCCACAAGGCTCCCCACGGGCCCAGAATAGGACCTGCGAGAAAGGCCCCACGAAAGTCCACAAAAGGACCCCCAAGATTAGATTGCTCCCATCGTACTTACAGACCACATCCCAGAAATAATTTCGAGCACCCAGATAAGTGGAAAAAGTGTCGAAATAATGTCGAACGAGTGCCCCCCAGGGCCCCCCTCGGGGAAGGGAGGGAGGGGAAGGGGGCGGTCCCCCATCTGGCGTTTTCTTAATGATTTGCGCATCCCCAAAATGTTTCGGGTGGTCCCAAAGACACCCCTCCTCAGATCTAGCCGCTACCGCCCCCAGAGCCCTCCCATCGGAACCCTCCCCGGACACCCCCCGGGACCGCTCCAGGCACCCCCCCCAGAGGGCACGTCAGCTCCAAAAAGCGTCCCTGACGACTCCAAGAGCGCCCTCCCTCCCAAACAGCGTCCCCGACGACTCCAAGATCACCGAATCCGGAGCTCCCCCGGATCGGCGGCACTGGCCAGAGGCCATTACAATAATTTCGAGCGCCCGGAAAAGTGTCGAACAAGTATCTTAAAAGTGTCGAAACAATGTCGAAGGAGTGCCCCCCAGGGCCCGACACGTGAAAACCCTCAAGTTTCGGTACTTTCTTGGTGCTCGAAATTCTTTTTAGCGATCAAGGCTAAAATAGGTTGGACATCGCAACCCCAAGAGTCCTGAGACCAGCCCGCGAAAGACGTCTCCAAAAAACCAGCAAAAATCAGCGAAACAACCGTTCAGGGTTGCCGCCACGCTGCACTGTTCAAAACTTCTGGGTTGGCCGGAGTCTGCAAGCACACACGTCGGCCGATACGTGTCGACGCTGCCCTAGCAGAGGGGTTGCGTTGCGGGGTTCTGCCGCAGGCCAACGTATCTTGTCTTCTGAAACCTGCCTGTCTCAACTTGTCGTGCAGATGTGGTTCGACAGAGGTCGGTGGAGATGGCAGCAGCAATGCTTCAGATATATGGATCCGACCATGAAAAAAGAACATGGGAAGTGTGAGGGCCATGAATCGTCGCGCCATCCTTAATCGTCGCGAGACTCATGCGCTGCCGATGACGGGCCACGGGATGGGCAAAGGACGAATCCTGAAATTGAGCCCACCTGGCGACGGAATCTCGCGGAAAAGCGTCGGCAACTGATTCACGCAATTACGCACGCCGTGTCCTGGGGGGGTTTGAATCCTGGGCCATCGTGGACAAAAAAAGGGGGGAAGGTGTTTTGGACGGGCTTGGAAAGCACCAGATGCGAGAGGCACCCCAGTGGTGGGGCTTGGAAGGCACCAGGCCCTCGCAGATCTTTGCCCAAGGCCCCCCTAAGGGGTACAAGCAATGACAATGACAGAGGGTCACTGGGCTGGCGATGAGAGGCTTAAACGGGGATGCCGTTCGAGCGAAATGTGCCACCAAGCAGGAGGAGCGAGGAGGGGACGCGGCGACAATGACATAAACATAACAAAAAACTCGAAGGTCAGCGCGGACGTTTCGGATCGGCGCTAGGGCCCCACCGCCGATCCGAGCACCCACGCGGACCCCTGAGCTCTTGTGTCGGCGTTCGCCCCCCTAACTACCCGGGCCCCCACCACTACGGAGAAGGATAACCGGTTGGTGGTCTCCAGGTGGACAGGGGAGCTGAAGACCCCCCTCCTCCTCCTCCTCCTCCTCCTCCTCCTCCTCCTCCTCTTCCTTCCCTCCTTCCTTCCTTTCCTCCTTCCTTCCCTCCTCCTCCTCCCTCCCTTCCCTCCTACTCCCTCCCCTCCTCCTCCCTCCCTCCTCGTGCTGTTGTGGGGTGCTGCGTACTGTCCAACATGCCGCAACGAGGCCTCAGATCGGCTCCGAGGCGGTTCCCAAGCAGTCCCCCAAGAGGCCCCCCAACAGAACCCAACAGGCTCTCAAGAGAGCCCCAAGAAAGGGCTCCAGAGCGTCAGCGTCGTCGACGTCGTCGTCGTCGTCGCCGCCGCCGCCGTCGTCGTCATCGTCGTCGTCGTCGTCCCTCCGAATCAAGAGCACGCGCGGGCGCCCCGCGACCACTCCGCACTGGTTTCGGACGGGGGCGGCGGGGGCCCCTCACACTGCCAGCCGCGCGCAAGTTAACCACCCGTGTCACAGAACAGTGCAGCATACAGCGGAGGCCAATCCACAAAAAACCCTCCACAAGAAATCCAACCCTGAGATCCCAAACCATCCATTGACTTTAGTATGGGGACGTCACGTTTTCCATAGCGAAACCATCGAAACCCAGGGCACCCTGGAGGCAAGCAGGGTGTTTCTTGGCATGGGCCTCCACTGTACACGTTGCCTCCAAATCTGGATCCTCCCTCCTCCCTCAACCTGGCAAACGGCAGCGCCTAAACGGCGGCAGTTGAAACAATCGGGGGGGAAGGGGGACGGGAGGGGGGCGAAATACATGCTACCCCAAGTCTCCTCGCGACGTGGCAACGCGTGCGGTGCGGGAGACAATGCTATACCACTCGGACTTCCAAGTGGAAGCGACGGGGGAGCGAAGCGCACACTACTCTACCCCACGACTCGCCAAGTGGCAGCGCCTGCGGGGCGAAACCTATATTATGCCATTCGACTCGCCGCACCAGGGGAACGAATCAAGTACTGCTCCAGTCCCATCGCCACGTGGCGACGCTCGCGAAGGGAAAAACACATAGTAATTACCCCACTGTGCCCGGCACGTGGCAAAGCGTGCGATGCGAACGCCCGCCCGCCCGTCCGCCCGTCCGCCCGCGCGCGCACGCCCGGTCGCGAGCGCAACATGGAAAAGCCAAGAAAGCGAGACAAACAATTTGCGCAGGGCAGCGTGCCCCAAGTGCTCGGCGGAATTTGATCAACCCATCTCGACACCGGGCGTCCCCGGGCTCTGCGCCCGTCAGGATCCCAATGTTGCGTGTTGCGGTCTGGAAAAACGCTCCTCTGCCCAACCGGGTATGTTCAATTTCTCCATTAATTGCCGCGCCTCAGCGGTGACGCGCTGGACCAAGGTCACCCGCGGCTCGTTTTCACCTTCCGGCGCAACAGCAGGCCGACGTCCGAGAATAACCCTGACCATTATGATTTGCGCGGCCATTCAACATCTGAAATCCCACGAATCTGTCATCGCCCAGCTGCCGCAACCATGCAAATCGGTGGGCGCCGCGACAGAGAATGAAACCCGCATCCGGAAATGTACCGGAATGGTCGCGTCGACCAGCTCTTGCTTGCACACGCCGAACTCGGCCCATGCTTTCTTTAGTCGGTGCTTGAATTTAACGTGCATGTTGGTCAACGACAGCGCCCTGCCCAAATGCATATTGGTTTCGTCCGGGCCCAACGCTTCGATCACCATTCCTTTTACAGGCGCCAACTGGACTTTGCTATGGTCGCCAGTGCTGTTGTCTTGTATATGTGCCTTTACTGGATGCAGCTCCAAGCGCGCCTTCGTGCTCTCGTTCTTCGCGCCCGCAACCAGGCGTCTGATTCGCGGCAAGGAACACCCGACCAAGAGCATGTCATCTGCAAGCCGCAAGTGAGTCAGCATGGCAAATTCGCAGTATCCGAGTTGCCTTCCGCATCCTTTGGATGCCCATTGGGCGCTTGCTTGTCGCATCACCTCTTCGAGCGCGCAATATCAGATCAGTGAACCGATGGGGTCGCCGTGTTTGGTCCACTCCAACGCCTTCAACTCTCTGCTGGCAGCGTCGCACTTGACGCGCGCCCGTTGCCCGCTGCATAATATCAACACCACGCGCGCATAAATAGACGGAGCCCACTGAACTACGAACGACCCCCAACTGCTCGGACGAGGCATTGAACCGAATGCTTTCTCGAAGCTCAATATGGCAATCCATGCCCGCCCATTGAACTCGTTGCACGTCTCCGCGAGCAATGTAATTCCAAACAAGCGATCATCGCAACTGAACGCAGGCCGGAGACCAGCTTGGTCGAAATATTGCCCGACAGTCGAACCCCCCCAACACAGCCCTCGGCTGGACAATAGCGCAAGATTGGGATGGTACACGGTTTGCTGTCGCTTTCTGGTAAAAAATCGCCCCTTATCCCCCCCCCACACCCCCCCCCCCCCCCCCTCTTGAAAAGTACTCGAGTGGAAGATGCCCTCCAAGATTTGTACACGGCCGCTTTGGGATCCAAGTTGCACAAAATAACGTCGCGACAACCCGCGCGCAGAAATCGTTCTCTTCGCGTGCCAATGCAGCCGCAATTCCGCGTTCATCCGCGGCTTCGTCACTTCGTATTTTATCAGCTGCGACACTATCTCCTCGGGCGAAACGATTTCGACATGGGCATGCGAACCAGAATGTTGAAACTCTACGCCATCTCCACCGTATATGGGGCTCGAAAACACAACGCGTACTTTAGCAACGTCACGGGATTGCGTCTTCTCGTTACCCACAGCGTCCAAGACGCAAGATACGCAATAGTGTTTCCCACTGTCGCGCACGCCAGCAATCCCTGGCAGGTCTAGGAATTATTGTAGAAGTTGGCTGACCCGCACGATCTGTCGAGACCTGGCCACGGCGACGCTCTCCTTGCGGGCGCGTCTGCTCATGTCTCTGGCATCCGCCTTTTCGTCAGAGTGTCTTGCACCGCGTCGTCTGGCGATCGAATCGTGCAAACATGCCTCTGAAGCCTAGACTGTCGCAACGCTCGCGCGCTCTCTGTCTCTCAACCAGTGATCGAACCGCTCAAGTCGCGGTAATGGTAAGATCTGAGACTCGGGGAAACGGCCCCGGATCTAGTACACGGCGCCATTTGATAAATCCACTTCTCGCTTTGGGGAATCAATGTTGTTTCAATATTCTGTTTTAAGAACTCACGTTTATTCATTATCATGACCTGCGTTAACCGGTGAACCAGCTGCCGCAACATCAAAAAACAGTTACAATCTGCCGACGTCGCTGCTCGATGTCCGCCAGTGCCCGGCCATCCTCGCCAGTCACACACACACACAGGTTGTGTATGCAAATCGCCCTGCTTCTGCTACCCCTCGTCACCGCGTTGCCTCCATTGTCGCGAATTCCATGTATTGGGCTCGCACTTTTTGGATTATGCCGAAGCCGATTGTTCGATCATGTGTATGGTAACCTTGACGGCCTGGTGATCGTAACCAAGCACATCTGTCGTCATTCGCTTCCTCGTTATCGATGGCGCGCGCTTTCCTTGAACCCAGGAGGCCATCATCCAGCTGCCGTTTGACAACGTCGTTCTCGTATGTCCACTTTTCCTCACAGATTGCAAATTCTTGCGCCGTTGCCCACTCACCAAGCAAGTCAACCTTTTCATTTCGATATCCACTGCCATACTGCCCCAAAGTATCGTCATCATCGCCGCTGCGACGACGGGCCCCTGTCGCATTCCAGTCTCCAAGCAAGGAACGCATTCGATTCTTACGCCGAGCTTGCTTCACCAAGTGGTCAACATGTAAATGAATACCCTCCACATCTGCATCGTCATATCCTCTGTGTGGCGTATAAACTGATATACAGTGAACGTCCCGGCCCAAATTGCAAAAATCCATTGCGCATGCTCTGCGACAGTTGGCGCGAAATCCACAAAATCCTCGTGCCCACCCTTGGTGCAATAGGACTCCTGTCCCACATGCTCCTTTGATGCCACCAGCGCCGCAGAACGTATTCCCATCGATGTGTTTCCACTTTTCATGCTGATCGCCGCGCCACGTCCCGGCCCAATCCAACAACATCCCAATCCACGGCTTATAACCTCAAAAACAACGCTTGATCTCGAGCTTCTGTTTGTGGTGAGTGCAGATATTTCAAGATAGTGTTGATCGAATTTCCGACGACCGTCGTAACGTCCGTCATGGCCTCCGTCACGTGCTCCTTGACGGGAATAGCTGGAATACGAACAAAACCAAGACATCCCCAAATACTTCCCAATCTTTCCCTTTCCCTCCGCCTCTTGATCTGGAAAAGTGGTGAACTTCATGATGCTGTTCTGGTATGGGTAGTTGTGTATCCTCCTCGCCCTCCTTTTCCTCTCCCTCTCTTTGATCCGGCCACAGCTTCATGTAGCACCGGCTCTCTTTGACCATCACATCCTGGTCAATAGACCGACTCCGTATCCAAGTCCGCGTCGGACCTCTCCCTCCACTTC